TTGCCCCCTGTAGATGGATGTTCACCACATTTGGCATGGAGGTTCATTGGATCCACATAATCATGGTGAATGTTCACACCAAATACCCGATTTTTAGTATATTGGGTCACCATCAGACGAACAATATACTGCGTTCTATATGAAATGAATCTATATAAATATAATAGTACTATCTGTTTGTTGCCTGTCCATGTAACGACTTCGCCCCCTGTAGATGGATGATCACCAGATTTGGCATGGAGGTTCATTGAATCCATGGGGATATGCATAAAACATCTCAGTTCTGCATTTTGCGTCTTGCGGTTTATGGGCGTTTTTTAACAGTACTTCGCCCCCCTGTTGATGGATCTTCAAATTTGGCATCAAGGTTTGTTGAGTCCATGCAGAAATACATGCAAATTTGCGGTTTCACATTTTGTGTTTTGTAATTTTTATAGGCGTTTTTTTTTTTTTACAATCACACATATAAGGGAAGCAACTTTTCATATCCTAAGATAACCTTTCATTAATCATGAATTTACATAACTTCCATACGGGGGACGAGTACTCCAGCTAGTATATTAACATAATGAGCCTCAAAGTGACTAACATTAGAACTTAAACTCCCAAAGAAAACGTTACAATTTCTGAAACATATACAAATAGTTTGCTTATCATTAGATTCATGCATCAGTTCAGTGTATCTTAAAGTGTAATGCAAAAACCGACACTCCATCCATCACCAATTGAAATTCAAATGATAAGCCGTTTCAAGAGAAGTTTGAAATATTTTTGTTTGTTTCAAAATGTTTTCCCCAAAGCCACATAAAGACAATTTCTAATTTCGAACTGACAGAGTAAGGAGAAAGCAGCTAGTCATCTGCACCCACTGTCAACTTTTGGACTGCTTTAATCCGTCCGCAAGTGAGATTTGTCTCTTATAGTGCACCAGTGGCCCCAAAGTGCGGAGCTTGTTTTTACGGCAACAGGATTCGAATCGTGAATCCTCTGAATCGAGTTTGGGCACGCCATAAGGCCACACACGGCCCCATATGTAAAGAAAATGTGAGTATGTAATTACTAATCCTAATTGATGATAGATGGCTCACTCATGGATGATGACGTGCTCTTGTACCACAAATGTTGAAATAGTTCTTTTCTTTTTTTTTTATTTGTGTTTACAAATTTCACACAATATTAATATAGTGTACGGTGGTACTAGAAAACTCGTTAGAAAAGCTTCCAAATATTCAACTTTCGATATGTACAGTAGCCCATGTTGAAAAACAGGTACCATCATCATCAGTATCATCTAATTCTAAACTACAACGCTTCTTCTAGGCATAGATTTAGTTATAACGGGTACTATCACTAAAACTACAACGCTTTTTTCAAGTCATAATCTATCTATAACGGGCAGTATCACCAAAAATATAAGGCTTTTACTAATAATACGGCTAATTATAATGGTTACAATCACTAAAACCACAACGTTTTTTCAAGTCATACATAATCTATCTATAACGGGCACTATCACCAAAAATATAAGGCTTTTACAAATAATACGGCTAATTATAACGGTTACAATCACAAAAACCACAACGTTTTTTCAAGTCATACATAATCTATCTATAACGGGCACAATCACTAAAACTACAACGCTTTTTTCAAGTCATAATCTATCTGTAACGGGCAGTATCACCAAAAATATAAGGCTTTTACAAATAATACGGCTAATTATAACGGTTACAATCACTAAAGCTACAACGCTTTTTCAAGTCATACATAATCTATCTATAACGGGTACAATCACTAAAACCACAACGTTTTTTCAAGTCATAGTCTAGTTACAACAAGTACAATCACCATCAGTATCAGAACAAGAAACCCACAAAGTGTTTATAAATCACATGGGCCGAGCGTGTCTTAGTGCTCTGCGTGGTCAGATTGTGATTCGAGGATTCATGTTTCACGACGCGTTGCGGCAAAAAAAAGAAAGAAAAAAGCGCTCGTAGTTGGTATATGTTTTGTTTGTAATTAATCACAAAGCTACACAATTGGCTACCTGTGCTCTGCCCACCACGGGTATCGAACCCCGGTTTCTGGCGTTGTACGTCCGAAGACATACCGCTGTGCGCTACAAAAGTGATGATCAAACCCCACTATTCAATGAGAGAAGAGAAGCGCCCAAGAATTGGCGGTAACCGCTGTTCACTCGCTGTCTTCTCTCTAGTCTATCAGTTCAAAATAACAGATGGCTATGTTCTTATACTAAAGGTGTGGTGATACAGCGATGAAGCCGTGATACGATTGTATCGATACACCGTCCGATACGATTTATGTATCTTCACGAAATGTGGTAAACTTTCAGTAAACATTACAAGTCTTTTGTAGGGGAAAAAATCAGAATTTCTAATAAAGTATTTTTGCTAAAAATTAATGATTCAATAAATGAAGATGAGTATTGAGTACTACATGTTGTCTTCATTTATTTTATCAAAAACATTACGTACAAAGTAACGTAACAATAACAGAATAAATAGATATTAACTTTGTTTTATTGTACTTCTCTTGCCATCTGCCATTTAGTTGATCAAACCTGAGAATTTGAATAAAACACTGTAAAATGTGAAGTACTTAAATAAGACAGTGTTAGTAATATAGATAATAAACTACAGACAAGACCGTGTAACAAAC